AGCTATGAGGAAGGACTTGGGTCACGTTCACAACCATCCTTCGGTCTTGAAGGGTCGCGTGGCTCCACTGATTCAAGTGGGTGTCAAGAGACGCTTCCAGGAGTGAGTGGTGTGGGTGAGAGTGAGGCAGCCGAGGAGACAGTTGCATGATTTGTGATGAGAGAAATAGAGTTTGTTTCATTTTTTTTTGTTGTATGTCAACACATTGGTGAAACACACGCCACGCCACTCACATCTTGGGAATGTGGGTGTGGCCTAACACAACCGGAATAGTTCGTGAGACACTGTCAAACCTCTGTCCAGTTGGCGCGATGAAGACGAAGTAGATTTTGTGCAAGAACCTTCACTCCACATCGAGCATCACAAAGTGTGCACATTTTGAGGTGAGAGTGGAGTGGAAACAGAGGCACAACGCAGTGTCCCTTCTCCACATGCTTACTCACTTCTTCTCCGCCAGGACTGAATGTGGAAATGAGCGCGATTAGAAGGTATGACAATTTGGACCCACTTCCTCCAAGTTGTCCGCCCAACTTTACGGCATTTTCATGACTCAATGTAAAAGTAAGCGAGAACCCTGGAAATGGCGCCACTTGATGGAATCCACAGGTGGTAGAAACAGCATGCACACAAAGGAATTAATTACTTTTGGAATTACTTTTGTACCAATTCCTTGGGGTTGTGGGGAGTGATGTGGAATGAGTGAACCCATCTGCATCAAGAAGGGTAGGAGAACATTTCAGCACCACAAATAAGACAATCTTGCGTTGGTCATGTGCTGCAATTCGACATCCATGACACAAGCACAAAGACTTTCACTGCGGTCTAACTTAAGAACAGGAAAGAAACTTCTCGCAGTGTCCAAAGACCTACCACTTGACAGAAGAGGGTATTCCATGGGGTTGGATGCTTGTGTTCAGGGAGAAGGAGGAAGAGGCTGAGCTTTGGCACAACTTCCAACAAAATCAACACCGCTAGTTATGCGAGTGGATGAGTCGACAAGGCATCACATTGTTCCTTCCTTCCAGTGAGTTGCATGTCCACCTCTGCCTTGTGCACACCGCTGACATCAGCTACTACGACGTGTTCGATGCTGTGGGGACGCACTCACGAGTCAATAGCGTCAGTAATCAACTCACATGAGATGGAGGGGTTGTGGATGGCCTTAACAACAGCTTTGACTGGAGCTGCAGTTGCACATTATCGAGAAGGGCAGGAAAAGAAGGTGTGGGTTGGGGAGGAGGAGGAGGAGGAGGAGGAGGAGGAGGAGGAAACTTCTGATGACAGTCAGTTGTGTTCAGGTTCGGACACTGAAACACTGGCCTAGAAGAGATGCGTAGCGGGGGTGGGTGGGGACGCACACAGGCCAATGTGGAGGGGCTTCAGCGCGGTGTCACTGGCTGCACCTCCACGGGGATGTGGTAAGGGCAAGTGAGAAACGAAACTCCTTTGAATGAATGACGGTGGTGTGGATGGTGGTGTTAATGGCTTGCGTGTGGAACACGTAAATGGAGCAGATGGCAAACACAGACGTCATTCTCAACCCTTTATGCTGTGTCGAGGTGAGAGATTCACTCGTCTGACGTTTATACTTTGAATAAGCCCCGCAGACTTTCATCACAAGAAGCAGAAATCAGAATAGAAGTCGTAGAACAGCCGTTTCCGGTTTCCACCACCATCATTGTAACATCTCGAGACTTCTCATGAACTTGTTGAAGGCATTCGGTAAAGATGGCTGCTTAAAATTCAGCACTAGCGAGGAGAAAGACGTGAAAATATGGACAAGTTTCCACCCGTCTTTGTAAAATGCAATGCAGTTGGACCGGTCTATGTAAAGTCCATCTAGTGCTGGCATTCAGCAACTGGAACCCCCACCAATAGCAGTCGTGTTAGCAGGAATGGATTTCAAACCAAAACCTTCACCTCCACAACCATTGAGACGACGTTCACCAGCCATCTCCAAAGTGGGTACAATTTTTTGTGGAAAATTCTGCAGCCTTTAGTTGGAAAGTTAAGGAATTCACTAAATCCAAAGGAATAGAGCGCAGTGAACTTTTGAGTTCTGCTGAAACCCATTCTACACACCTTCAGGGGTTCAAAGAGTCGTTGAAAAATGCCTCACTTTTACACCTGCATCTCCAGAGTCATTCGTTAAGCTTCAGAGTCGTACAAGTCATTCCAAACAATACCGGAATTGGGACGATAAAAACGCCAGTTTGAGTCTGTGACTGTCCGAATGCTTTGTTTTCCTTCTGTGACTCGAATTTGACTAAAATCTTGGCACACTGCAGTTTGAAGTGTCTCTTGTGGGTGGCGCAAGACTCTGATGCCAATCGTCTGAGGGGAACAAGCGATTGTGAAAATTGTTAAAATCAAGCTTCCAGTCTCTTTCCAACCAGCCGAATCACATTCTCAACTGAATGGGAAAAGTGCGTCCCTGGGGGCGGCGCATTGCAGCACACCCCAAAATTGAGTCTTCCAAGGCGATCAAATCTGCCACCTCAAGTGGAGGATGCTTTTATAGCCTGCAAATTTTGCCCACATTTCTCAATCACATTCACCTGTACGAAAAAGTGCAACAACCACTTTGCCAGAGGCTTGGTGATAACAGCCCTTGTAAATTAACGACAACAAGTATAACAATCACTACTTTTTGTAGTGTGCTGCACCACCTTCAGTGGACGGATCCTCCATGCAAAACAAACAACAATGTGGAGAAGTTAGTTTGCGGCCAACTACACACCAAATGTGACTTTTTCTGCTCTTGAGGCATTGACCACATAAACTTCTCACCCAACCAGGTGGGCAGTAAAGACGGAGCTGATGAAACATCAATTCATTTTCTTAGATGATTGATGAATAAGGCAACAACAGTGGGTGGAGTGCCTTGTCAACACGACTACCTGTGGGACTGGCGGTCAGTTCGGCGCTTTTCCTGCTCCTGGTCGCGTGGGCGGGTTATGGGACCAAGCCAAAGCCCCACGTCTTGCCCTCCGCTCTGGATATCTGCCTTCAGTTACACTGGGTGCCTTCTTCTGCCTACTTGAAAGTCTTCCGAGGTTACAGCTGGGAGTGGGAAAAACTTCCCCGGAGCAATTTGGCGGCGCGGCAAATCCGTGATTATGTCCTTAGATTGTCTCAAGTCTGTATAAAACACTTACCAATTCATTTAAATGACAATTTTCGGTGCAACTTAAGTAATTATGGTAATTATGTGAGGAGTCTTACGGAAATCGAGCAATTTCTTGCAACCATTTTCAATCTTTAGAGTGCTCATTTAAAAGCAAAATTAAAATGGTAGGTAGAAAAGACAGTGGTGAATTGATGTGCTCAAATTTGGTTGTCTGGTATTGCAAAATCACCTGTCGAAGCAGTGGTAGTGCACTCAAAAAAGTTAAACCTTATCATCTTTATATTTGTATCTACCCTATGATGGAAATAGTACTTCATCAAGCAAGAAGGCGAGGTTGGTGGGTTTTAAACGTCTGAATTAATGCCCTCAATCTGAAGTTCCAACCCCTTAGTAGAGACGAAGCTATTGTTGAAACGCGGTAGAGGCGACCGTAGCTGGATTAGGTGAGTCAGACAAGGCGGGACAGTCTTACCCACCCATGAGCGTTAATTGGATTGTTTTTTTTTGTGCGTGTCTGCATGCGGCAATGCAATGACGGGGACTATTATCCACATCACACACGCACACACGTGATGGCACACATTACAGCCTACTAGGGAGCCAATAGCTGCACTCCCTCCAATCGCCCAAATACGGTGAATGTCAGCCTCCGCTCTTCCCATTGGTCAGTTTGGTCGGTTGCAAGCCCACAAGCACACACGCTTACTTACATGCACACACAGGCAGTGAATTAGCATCGAGAGAGGAGGAAGAGGAGTGGTTTTCTGTGTGTATACGCTTCTAAGGGAATTTCAAGTTTTCTTTTCCTCCTCGTTCTCTTTCGACCCAGCATGATTGGAGGAGCCACGGTGATGAATATTCGTCAGAGCAGCAAGGACACACAAGTCCTTAAGGTTGGCGGGGAGATGCTTGATCAAGAGGGTCATCGTGTTGATGTCACCGTCTGGTTTCGTCATCGTAATGAAGCGCTCTACTGTGAGTTGTTCCTTTAGTTCTGTTGGCTTCGTTATGATCATGGCTGGACGTTAATAATGAGTTGGGAATAGAAGGAGTATTTTAAAAATTCGAGTGGTCATTGTTTGGTGTTCATATGGAGAACAGTTTGAAATGAAATTAAATTTAGCTAATGTTTTGTTTGGATTGATATGGTAATAATTTGACGATAGAGTCTTTACTTTAAAGCCACTGACTTGTTTAATTGTTGACATTAAAGACTGGATCCTTTTTTATTTGCAAAAATCGCGTCGATTTCCAGAAATGATTTAAATAATTTTAAATTCACATGTGAAAAAATTATAAAAACCTGGATCAGCGAATAATTTCGGCAGACCGGAGGTTGCACTATTTTGGCTCTACTTAAATGTGTGGAACTGGTATTTCCTTACCACATGGACTCCTTTCAACAGTCATTGCGATAAGTTGACCATAGTGAGACGCTATTGAATGAACTAGTCGCATTTTGTTCAAATTACCTCTTGCCTTTCCATTCCTTGATGCTGTATTTTTAGAACACCTATAATTGATATCATTGAAAGTGGGGTCCTTCCGTGATGTGGACTCGTAGGCCGATGGAATTGTCACATTAAAGGGTTACTTTCTGGTCGAGGTCGATCTGTCTAGGTCATAGTAAGGTCAAACCTAATTAAATGGAATTCCCACAGATTTCTAGCCTTCCAGTATCTTTGATCAGTCCGTACATCCGCCTAGCATTCCCGTCCTAACATTGAAATGTACTGTGTTAGTCTGAAAATTTTCCTGTTCCCAATGCACGAAAATTACCACTGTCTGCTACGACTACAACTGCCATCATCATCGCTGCTGGCACCTTCACCATCTTATCCTCACGAGATTCGCATTGGGCTCTATTTGGCGATGTTTCCATCTTCAGCGTGGATGCTCAGGCTTGTATGTTAGTCCAGGCTTCTGTTTGTTTTTGTTTGCACACAGTTGAGTGTTTTAAGGCCACTTCAGTTTTCAACCAACCTCAATCCAGTGTCCTTTTTGGAATTGCATTACCACGCAAGTATTCGAGCCTTTAGGCGAATCTTTGAATGGTAATTTTTAACCAAAATGCTAAACGCGTTTTTGAAGTGAGTTAATTTAACTTCCGTCTTCCAAAATTGCTGCATGCAAACAGGCGAATTTGGTTGGAGTCTTTGCGGGTAAGGGAGCCTTCAGTTCCCAAAAGCACCGCAAGAAAGGTCGAATTTCTAAGCTTTAAAGGCAATAGCGGTAGCAACGCCACAGCATGTGTTGCCGGCGATTATCAAGCGGTGGGATTAAATTTCATTTCATTAAAATTCTCTTTGATGTAGTCGTGTCCCTCAACGGCTTCAGCCTGTTTTTCGCCCGTAGGAGGCGCACGACATGCTAACAGGTGTGAATGCACTTGATGTCAATGTGAATTAAAACGTCAACAGTACATATATGATACATCAATCCACCCATTGTATCGACATGCGTCCGCACCCACCTACGCATCCATATGGATAGAAAAGTGATGTAGGAAGGAAGGAAGGAGGGAAGGAACTGAGAATACGCTACCATCTTTTATTTTCCCCCCGTTAGTGATTGTAGTAGTCCTTCGCTATTCGCCTGACACAGATAGATGACTTTGTTTGGCCTCACACCCACCGACTGCATCTGCAACCCCCAACGCCATACATCATCTCAGTCGTCCTCGGCTGCTATTGCTTGGTAGTGTTTTCTGTGCACCCACGTTTTCGCCACAATCAGGCATCACTATCCGACGGTCGTAGCGCCAACCTCTCTCACTTTTTCTTGCATTTAATTTCCCAGTAAGATGAGTCTACCAAGGCGAGTGAGGACGGGGCAGAATCAGTCACTGTTTTGTTCTTGAACTTCCTAATTGGATGCCAGTGTTACGACAACCTGTTCTGAACTTATCGAGCAGATTCACTGGGCGTTTTTGTCCAAGGCAAGGGGTGGACCTAGTTCAGGCGCCATCTGAAATACTGACCCACTGGAAAAATGCATGTGATGCTACTGCCTTTCATGTGTGACGCGCGACTTTTTAGGTCACACACACACACACACACACAC